TCAAATTTGAAGAAACCACACCTGATAAGGTTGCTAATGTACCTTACAGACAACTCATTGGATCGCTCATCTGGCTCGCGACATGTACTCGACCAGATATTTCGTTCGCAGTCAACAAGCTTGCAGCCTATAGCAGCAAACCATCCGAAACCCACTGGAAACACGCCAAACGCATCCTGAGATACCTCAAATCTACTATTAACTTGGGACTTATCTTCAGCAAGTCTAAAGACGGCATAATTACAGGCTACGTTGATAGTGACTGGGGTGGTGACTGCTCAGACCGCAAGTCAACTACAGGATTCGTCTTGATGCTCGCCAACACTTCCATTGCTTGGGAATCAAGAAAACAGAAGACTGTGGCATTGTCATCATGTGAAGCCGAATATATGGCAATGGCAGAGATGTCAAAGGAGTGCAAATTTCTTGCCTCTCTCTATGCTTCAATCGTAGGCCAAGTCCCCGTAGTTAAAGTATTCACAGACAGTCAGTCTGCCCTAAAGCTGTCTACCAATCCTATTGTTACCAATCGTTCCAAGCACATTGACATAAAGCATCATTTTGTGAGAGATTGTATACTGAGTGACTTGTACAAATTGGATTATGTACCCTCAGACCAAAATATTGCTGATATTCTTACCAAATCTCTTTCCTCACCCGCACATCTTAAATTGTCATCTGGTTTAGGCTTACACAAATGTATTGTGGTGAATGATGATATGATCAGCTTGGATTCGATCTAGATCTGACCACTGTTGAACACGTTAAGATTTTGTGCATTTTTATTATTATTATTTTTTTTTTGCTTAACTGATCGGTGATTAAAATTAAGAGGGGGTGTCAGAACCCTAAATTGTAATTTGAATTTCCCCTCTATCAAATATATGTAGATCCAGGTATGCGCACAAGGTGATATGATACCGTCACGTTGTTTACTTCAATGTGAACAATTTAATAGTGCACATTGTTCATTAAATAAAAATAATTGAAATGTAAATTTCTATCATTGACAATCTCTAGTCTCTGCTGGTCCTCAATCCAATTTCTCAGCGTTTCATCTTCACGTTGGTAGCACGCACTAATTATTGTTTGAAGTTTTTGTTCACTGATTGTCATTAACTGTTCAAATTTCTCACACTGAAATATGCACTTTTTTTATGTTCACTTCACACAATGTGTTTTTATTTTCGAAATTATTGTAATATAAAGTAATTTCGGAAATAAAGAAAACCCGTTCCTGAAAAAACAAATGCTGAAAAAAAGTTAATATTGTAACTGTGAAAATTACTACTAACCAAAACTTTTGGTTTGATATTAGTAGTTATTTGCACAATTACACATTGGGATATGTGGGATGGGGACATTTAAGTAAGGGTATTGGAGTAAATGGTAAACTTTTTAACTCTAAATTTTGACGCTATCTTGTATATCTTTCTAGGATTTATTCAAAAATCATATTTTGACATCAAAATTGTAATCTCCACCCAAAAAAACCTATAAAAAGACGTATCGCGCTTGTTATAATTATTATCTTTTTATTAAAATCATCGCGTTTTATTTTATTTTCGGGCCGTCTGTCGGCGTCGTTCTACTTGTTTAACATTGAATAACTTGCTGTGTACTTCCACTTTGATATGACGACACGTTAATATTGAAACAATATTAAAACCATAAAAACCACCCACTTAAAAACACCCCCCACTCCTCCAAAACGCCCCCAAAAATATTTTTAACTAAAAATTTAAATTCAGAAAACCCTAAAATCGATGGGCTACATGTCCATATTTTTAAAAAATTTAATTTTTATATTTTTTGCAGATATTTTTGACGCCATCTTGAATTTCTCAAAATGCTCAAGGGTGACAGAGTGGCACCAATCGGATTCTTAAAATAGACCTACTTAGTGACCTAAAACCGCAAAAACATTTTCACCGTACCTTACTTCCAGCTTTTTCGTCTGGCTTCCAGACTAATAGTAAAATTCTTTGTTTCACGATTTGCCGTTAGGAACCTTTACAATGCGCTTTACTGAATTTTTGACCCGAACTATTGTATTCGTTATTTTTGTATGTGTAATTTGTTTTCTAAAAAAAGTATTGTTATTTCTTGCAGGGTTTAAAAAATAATTCTATTTTTTCTGTAAATAATTAAATTAATGTATATTTGTGACTTTTTATTTTAATAATTTAATTTGAATCAACACTAAGTTAGATGCTAATAGTATTTCTTTTGAAGCATCTGTTATCGCTCACAATAATGACCCCATTAAAGAAAATAAAGTTAATTTTCAATGGTCGGAAAATGAAAAAGAATCAACCGAAGGAATAAAATTAAAATGCAGCTATACAAGGTGGCCATTTGAAAACGAAACAGAGCCTATTTTGGGGGCCTCAAAACATCTACGAAAAAATACTCGGACCCGTCAATTTTTTATTCAAGAGGGAACAATTTTTTCGTTAGTTTCGCCCCCCTGAGGGCAAAGCCCTAGCGGGGGTGACAAGCGCCCCCAAAATTTTAAATCGAATGGGTGGTCGAGTGTTACCTGATTTTGAAGGTATTTTTATGTGGATTATAACCCTTAAGTTTTAAATCGCTACTAATTTGCCTAGCCCATACAGGGGCTAATAAAAGTTACAAAAATGTGTCAACATTTTTTATGAAAAAATATTCTTGTAAATGAATTAGTTAAATAACAAAAATAAAAACAACAGTAAATACAAAAAATGTTGTTCTCCTACATTCTGAGCCGTACTTTTTGTTGTTTTTTTTTCTGTTTAATACTCGTAAGTACATATGCCTTTTCTGCAACGCAAATCTTGGTTATTGTTGAGAGCATTACTAAAGCATCATTTTGAAGTTTAATAGTGATTGTCAATTACTGTTGTCAGAACGAGAGAGGGATAATAACATAAATAAATAAATAATGGTTTATTCACTTGCTGAATAATTTATCTTTTTTTGCAAACAATGAAAATGCTAATAGAACTGCCCAGCTCTTTAATCGACAACACCAGAATCGACAGGTCCATCGTATGTTTGGGCTGCCATTTTTGGTAACCGTATCGTAGGCCCCTTCTTTTTACCTGGAACTTTAACAGGAGAGATGTACCTGGAGGTATTAGAAAAGACGATTCGTCCAGCATTAGTGGAGATACTAGAAAATAACAACGACTACTTGGAAATAGTCTAGTATTTCAGCAAGATGGTGTGCCACCCCACTATGCTGCAAGGGTTCGTCAATATTTGGACCATACGTTTCCAGGAGAATGGATTGGAAGAAAAGGTGCTATTGAATGGCCTCCTCATTCCCCGGACTTAAGTGCGTTAGATTTTTCTTATGGGGCCATTTAAAAACTAAAATTTATACTAGTCAGCCTACATCTTTAGACAACTTGCGACAAAAAATAATTGACGAATGTCGTCAAATCGCCCCAGAAGTTTTTCAAAATGTACGGGAAATGTTTGAACAAAACCTGTATTATTCTATGGAAGTCGAAGGCCAACATTTTCAACATTTACTTAATTTAAAACTTAAGGGTTATAATCCACATAAAAATACCTTCCAAATAAGGTATCACTCGACCCCCCCCCATTCGATTTAAAATTTTGGGGGCGCTTGCCACCCCCGCTATGGCTTTGGCATCAGGGGGGCGAATATAGCAAAAAATGGTTCCCGCTTGAATCAAAAATTGACGGGTCCGAGGATTTTTTCGTAAATGTTTTGAGGTCCCCAAAATAGGCTCTGTTTCGTTTTCAAATGGCCACCCTGTATAAAAGGGGAAACTGAAATTCGGAACTGAATTATTCCAGGGTATCAAGAAACCTATGTGTGCTTTATGCAATGTCAATATCGAGAAATATGATAATTTAATGCTCAAAAGTTTACACCAATTACAGGACACAATATGAATAATAAAAAAAAAAAAAATATAAGCTTATAAAGTATATAGACGCATTTGGATTAGCTTAGTAGATATCTAATAAAGTGAATCTAAAGCAAATTCAATACTGCGAAAAGGGCCATAAAGAATGAATGAATGAATTTTATTAATAGGTGAATTGCGAGAAATATTTAACCTAGCTTTTTTACAATAAAAAGTGTTGTGTTGTCTATTCACATGAGGTACATAAAAGTTCAAACGTTTTAACAAAGAAGGAGAATCGTCATACGTCGTGATACGTGATTAGATAGTAATTATGGAAAAATATGTAGCGAATGTAAAAAATAACGGTGTACGTTCAATTCTAGCCAATAGGCAAGAAGAAAACTGGAGTGCATTGGTTTCGAAGAAGAGAAAGAGAGTAACGAAGCCAAAAATTTTATGACAATTTGCTCCAAGAGATGAAACTATCAAAGAAAACATACAACCAAAGTAGTGATACCGGGTGCAAATCCGGAAAAGTTTCTAAATACATCGACAAGAATGCTGCAACATTTGACAAACTGTCTAAGGCAACTGGGAAAAGTGCCTATTATAAAAAATGCAAGTTGTGATAAACTGCGTATTTATTTATATAGTTGTATAATATTAAAATGTTTAATCAGATTTTGTTATAATGTATTTGTTTATGTTTTAGATTAATGTACTACTATGTTGCAGGGTATCCAGTTTGAAAAAAAATTGTACACTTTTACAAACACATGCCCTTTGGACTGTTTTATACAACTATTGGTTGTTGCTGGTCATGATAGTCCATTTGCATTGAACATTTTGAACATATATGAAGAATGAACCTTACTCCATAATATCCCTGGAACGAATGTTTTATAATTCTTACATAAAAATCTAGGTGCCGGGAAAACTACTCCTATATTTGCCCGATACCTTCATATTTATCCTCAACCCGTTTTGTATCGTTTCCTGTGATCCGAATTCATTAATTAATTCATGCCATGCAAGTGCAGCTTGATTGTGTACGTAATTCATCACTAATCATGAACTGATTGATGTAATTATTCAAATTCTATAAATAACGATCAGATACGAATATCACCACTGTTTTATGTAAGACAGTTCTTTGTACTAATTGAACACAACATCCATTAGTCATTAATTCATCTAATTTATTATTTGTTCAAATACGTTTTTGGAACTAGACGCGCTTACTCAACATGTTCAGTTTCTTGCTAGTTGTTCTGTACGCAAGAGGTAAGTATAATTCTTACTAGGTATTCACAAATACATTCCTTCTACTTTTGCAAGGATTTGTAGCTGAAAATGGGCCATTTGTCCTGACTTCTTTAGGTCCAATAAGAGGATTCTATAAGTCATCATTTCATGGTCGTAAATTTTCGGCATTTGAGGGAATTCCATATGCAAAACCCCCGGTCGGCGATTTACGATTTGAGGTCAGTTTTTGGTACATCCATACAATGTAAAATGTCTCTTTAGCCGCCTCAAAATGCGTCGCCTTGGAATGGTGTATTAAACGCCAATAAACAGTACATCTGCATGCAATTGGAAAACGCAATGATTACCGATGATGCTACCATAGGTATGGGTTCTACATTTTTTTGATTTTTTCTATTAGCTGGCTACAGGCACCGAGGATTGTCTGTACTTAAATGTTTACGTACCTAAAACACAAATTTCGACCGACGACAATTATGACGTAATAGTTAATATTCATGGAGGAGCGTTTATGTTTGGATCCAGTACATCATACGCAGGTCCCTGTCCGTTAATGGACCGCGAAATAATTTATGTGAACATAAATTATCGCGTAGGTCTTCTAGGTATGTTTCGAATCTACCCCCTGTTCAGCAGTAACACTATAACGTACGTCAGGGTTTTTAAGCACCGAAGATAATGTCGTACCTGGAAACAATGGATTGAAGGACCAGCAACAAGCCCTTAAATGGGTACAAACGCATATAAAGCAATTTGGTGGTAATCCAAAATCAGTAACTCTCATGGGGGCGTCAGCTGGTGGAGCTGCGGTCCATTTGCATTATTTCTCCCCGAAATCCAAAGGTTTGTTCCATAGAGGTATATCTCAAAGTGGAACTGCCCTGATGTCGTGGGCCATTCAGGACGGTGCCGCGCAGAAAGCAAGAAAGCTGGCAACGATTTTGAACTGCGAAGATTCGAATACACAAACTTTCATTAAGTGCCTGAAAGGCGTACCTGCAGATAAACTCGTGAAACAAACGAAATTGTTTTACCAGGTTGCGCGATTGCCAGTTTCGCCCTTTGCGCCCGTTGTAGAAGTAGAGTCGGAGTCATCTTTTCTAACAAAACATCCGTACAAGCAGCTGGAAGACAGTGAGGTGAACGATATCCCTTGGTTGACATGGGTTACAAAGGACGAAGGAAATTTAGTATCTATTAGTAATGTGCAGCTTATTAGTATCATATTAAAAATGCTAATTTATAGTTCTGAACAAAAATCTAAATGAAGTGGAAACACACTGGGCAGCATGGGCTGAACATTTATTTGATTATGAATACGTTTGCTTGGAAACGAAAAAGCATGACGTGTCTGAACGGATTAAATCGTTTTATTTTCAAAATGAACAAATGCCTAAACGTTACACCAGTTTATTGCTTAAGGTAGGTACTAATTCTACAGCAAAATTATCCATGCTAAATTATTTTTAGAGCTTTGGCGATAGATTAATTAATGTCGGCTTTGAAACTGCAGTTCAAATGCAGGTGAAAGTTACAAATTCATCCGTATATGCAGCCATTTACGGTTACAATGCGGGTGTTACTCTCAGTACAATTTTTGGAGTGGGCTTGGAAGGCAGGCATATCATTAGATTCAAAAACTAATAACCAATCAAAACATTCGTAGGGACCACGCATGGTGACGACACATTGCTTTTACATGGCATAGACGCAATTCAATCAATGTTTCCACACATACAATTTTCCAAAAACGACGTTTTAATGAAGGATACGTTACTTGACCTTCTTACATCATTTGTAATCAACGGGTGAGTCCACAGCTAGGATAATTCCAGTCACTAAGTAGACACTTTCAGCAAACCACAATGCAGGGGAGTGGAGTGGAAGCCGTTAACCTCTAAGAGTTACCAATATTTACTCATTAACAATAGCGATAATATTAGTATGTCAGAAATACCCGAATTAAGCCCAAAGGGGTTTTGGGAGGGTTTGAATTTACGGGAAAATAAACTATTTTCGGAAAAACTACCAACTTTGTAGTGGACATTGTGCTTACAGTTGAATAAGTTCTTTTCTTAGTCACAGACAAGTTATTCGTCAATAAATGTATTGATATAAATAGCAGTAGCAGTACCATTTAGGACTAATTCAGTTTTCTGATATCTTTAGGATTACTCTAGTACTGGACGCCGTCAAAGTCGCTACCCAGTACAGGAGATTATGATGTCCGGCGCATAAACAAGCAATAGCTCGATTTCGTACTTCCTGGGTAGCAAACATAAATCCAATCAATTCAGTGGTACCTTTAAGGAAGCGTTTCTCAAACTTTTTTTTAACACGCCGGAGCCCCTATTAAGTGGAATCTAAGATGACGAAGGCCCCAGGAATTCCATAAGGGTGATCTGCATCCCTTGAGGTTCTGGTTGGGTGAGGCGTATTCGACCCTCCATTATAGAGGGAGCCCGGGGGTCCTCCCCCAATGAAATTTTGAAAAATTCAAATCCAAATACTCAGTATCGCAGTCCCACAAATGCGGCCCTTTTTTATAAATGCAGAAAAACCGCCATTAGAAGCCCCAGGCGTTTGTTCGTCTGGTACCTCGGACCTAGCTATCGGCCCATTTTAGGTATTTCTTTGTACAACTTTTGAGAAACAAGAATAATAATTGACGACGCACTATCATACATAATAAATAAATCTAAATAGCATTATGCGGGTCACTCTGTAATTGGGCGCATGCCTGTTGACGGCCCAAAACTAAGAGAGGGATAATAAATAAATAAATAAATAATTCGCTCGTAAAACAAGTACACTTTGAGAAACGCTTTATGGAAATTGATAACCAGGATATAAGCAAACACCAGTACCATTTACTAGGATTGATTAAATATACGTTCAGTTTTCTGATACCTTCAGGATTACACTAGTACTGTACTAGTACCTTCTTACCACAAAACTAGAAATAAGTACAAAAACTTATGTAGTTCAAAGAAAAAAAGTTTTTATGAAGATGCAATTGCAAAATTTAGTCGGGTAAGGGATGCGAAAGATTTTTGGGGCTTAGTGCGCCAGTTCAAGAACACAAGGTATAACTTTCACAAGGATATTAACGCGGCGGAATGGAATACCCACTTTAAAAACTGACTAAACCCATCCTTAACTGCAAGACGAATAGCCCACGCCGAGCCGCTCATTAAGAACGTTTTATTGGATGCACCTTTCCAAATGAATGAGCTATTAGCGGTGTTGAAAAGAGCCAAAGACAATAAAGCTCCAGGAAAAGATAGAATCCCATATGAGTTCTACAAAAATAGTTCAGTGACGTTTTTAGAAACTTTACTTAAATGTTTTAATGAAATTTATGTATCTGGAATCATACCGAACAACTTTAAAGAATCGATCATATTCCCAATTCACAAAAAAGGAGCGAAGAATGATCCAAATAACTATAGGGGAATCTCATTCGGAAACACAGGGAGTAAATTATTTGCTGGTTTATTGCTGGACAGAATTACGTCGTGGACGAATCGGGAAAGCATACTAAAAGAATTCCAAGCGGGATTTAGGAAATCTTACTCTACGATTGACAACATCTTTACTTTGATGAGTATAATCAAGATCCATTTAAGCAGGAAAAGGCAAAAAGTGTTTGCTTTTTTCGTTGACCTATCCGCTGCTTTCGATAGGATAGACAGATTCGCATTATTTTACAAGCTCATGAATCTGGGCATGTCCAGTAAAATAATCACGGTTATTAGAAATATGTACAGAAATACTTCAGCGTCAGTCTGGTGTCAGGGAGGTTTAACCAAGGCTTTTGAAACAGCTATGGGTGTAAAACAGGGGTGTTTATTGAGTCCCTTACTTTTTTCACTGTTCATAAACGATATTGATGATTATTTGAATTATTTATTAATTATCAGAATAAATTCCACCACAATCAAACTACTAGCGTATGCAGACGATCTGGTACTTTTGGCATCGGACAAGTATAACTTACAGAAAATGATCAATGAACTAGATAGATATTGCAACATGTGGAATCTGAAAATAAACCTTTCGAAATCAAAAATTGTGGTGTTCCGGAACGGCGGGCGACGAAGCGAAGAGGACAAATGGTTTTATAAATCCGAACAAATACAGGTGGTCAACAGTTATAAGTATCTGGGAATTACGCTTACCTCAAAATTGTCTTTGGAAGATCACTTTAAAGAGAAAGTAGAAAGTGTAAAATTTGCTATAAATTCGTTTAACCAATTAATTTTGGACAACAAAATTCCTCTTCAATCAAAATTGGACATCTTCAATGCTGCATGTCGGTCAATTGTGTGCTACGCATCACAGGTATGGGGCTTCCTCAATCATAGAACAGTAGAGATACCGCTTAAATTCTTCGTAAAGAAATGCCTGAGGCTACCTAGGAATACGCCAGACTACATGATTTATTTGGAAACCGATCTTTACCCCACGTATTTGTACACGCTCCATCTTCATTTCAACTATATTAGAAGATGCCTAAAATTACCAGGTACGCGTTATCCCAACATTCTGGCGAAGGAGATCATTAAAATGAAATTATTTTGGTACGCTGATTGGAACATCCTATGTGTTAAATATGGCTTCAACACCAATGATCTTATAAGTGGGAGTATGGAGGCAAGTGTAATATTAAGTGCGCTGAAAGACGATGTTAAAGAACAATATAGACTAAAAGCGGTTAATAGTATCAGACATCCCCTATACAAAGAACTGGATCAACTTAACAAATATGTTTACTCTAATCTTGTTGGCAATTATATTAGCTGGATTTTTAAAGTCAGGGGGGAATTGATATATCTAAATAAATACAATTACGAACAAATAAAATTATGCTCACTATGTAATTTTCAGGAAGATGAAGACATATTTCACTTTGTTGGGGTTTGTCCAATATTGAAAACAATTCGTAAAAAATACCTACATAAAAATGTGCTGACACTTGTTGAGTTCAAAGAGTATTTAAACGGTAAAGACTGGATAGCACTCGCAACTTATTGTACATTTGCATGGAAGTACAGATATTCTTTTGTTCAGGAATTTAACTTCTAATTTCACGTTTATAAGAGTTGTGCTTCTTTTTCTTTTTTTAAATTTCTTTTTCATAAAATGAATAAGGCAACAACCCCTCAGGCGGTCATAATGATGACCATGAGTATGTCTCTTACATTAACTTTCATTTCTATTATAAAATATACTTATGTTGTAGTTTATATTAATAAAGACTGTTATTATTATTATTATTATTATTACTAGTACCTTCTAAAATTGTACTTCTTAGGTAAATGCGTTAATACAATTAGTTGTGTGATAACTTATTATACATTATAACATATACTAACATATATTAATCAATTATTTGAGTATACAGGGTGTCAAAACGAAAATTCAACCCTCCTTATCTGGAAAATCAAGCATTTTTATTGGAGGATTTCCAAAACAGTTCAAATTTGTTTTTGAAGGGCAATACACTCCGAAACTCCACCCCTTTGGATGTTTCAGCAACCTCCTCAAGAATTTTAGATGACCTGTGGGGTGCCGGATCGCGGTTGTGCTTATAACAACACAGGGAGAGGTACAACATAGGGAAAATGTACTTATTACAAAAAAATATGCTTGAATAGAGAATAAAAATTCATTTAATTTGATGTGGCCCTCTCCTCTTAAGGGGAATGTTGTGATACTCACAGGGGTGGAGTTTCGGTGTGTAATGTATAAATTCTTTTCCCCTCAGAAACAAATTTGAGCTGTTTTGGAAATTATCCAGATAAGGAAGGTCGAATTCTACGCACCCAAATTAATAAGAAAAAGTGTTTTCCCGAGAAATTTTGGTGTAGTCAATTTTTGGTAAAAAAAAGGTTATACACTGCCTTTTTTTGAGCCCCGAAAAAAAATTGTCTCAGATCGATCCGGAAAAACAAATTTTCTTATAGAATGTGGCCTGTAGAATCCATAATTTCAAACAGTTCCAAGATTGGGCTACTAGCTCAAAAGTTACAGCCCTTTGAATTTTATTTTGAAATTGGTTTCCAGTCTATAACTTTTGATTGAGAAATCTGATCGAGAAAGTACGAATTGTTTTGGATTCTTCGCACAATAATTAATAAGAAAAAGTGTTTTCCCGAGAAACTTTGGTGTAGTCGATTTTTGGTAAAAAAGGAAGGTTATACACTGCCTTTTTTGGGTCCCGAAGAAAAAATTGCCTCAGATCGACCGGAAAAAAAATTTTCGTATAGAATGAGCCCTGTAGAATCCATAATTTCAAACAGTTTGAAGATTGGGCTACTAGTTCAAAAGTTAGAGCCCTTTGAATTTTCTTTCGAATTGGTTTCTAGTCTATAACTCTTGATTGAGAAGTCTAATCGAAAAAGTACGAATTGTTTTGGATTCTACGCCCCAAAATTAATAAGATAAAGTGTTTTCTCGAGAAATTTTGGTGTAGTCGATTTTTGGTAAAAAAGGAAGGTTATACACTGCCTTTTTTGGGTCCCGAAGAAAAAATTGTCTCAGATCGACCGGGAAAAAAATTTTCGTATAGAATGAGCCCTGTAGAATCCATAATTTCAAACAGTTTGAAGATTGGGCTACTAGTTCAAAAGTTAGAGCCCTTTGAATTTTCTTTCGAATTGGTTTCTAGTCTATAACTTTTGATTGAGAAGTCTAATCGAAAAAGTACGAATGGGGTCATCCCGCCTTCATTTTTTATTTCTGATCCACAAAGTACAGTAAAAATAAAAAGACCCGTGTGACCTCAATTTTTATTTGCGAGTCAAATAAACCCAAAATAAATTATTGAAAAGCTGTGTTTTTAGTCCGAATTTGAAACGCTTCAGACTAAATACGTCACAAACCTACAACCAATCACGTAGAAGTGAGCTGGCAACCTTACGCGAGGGTCTGACGTTTGTCACATTTGACGTTTTGAGAGGGATGTTTAACTGCATCTAGCACGAAAGTGACAAGTGCCTGTGACAGATGACGCAAGTTATAAATGCCATTCTCCTGCAATATTGCCAAGTCGTTATGTCATCTGAATGGTTCTAGGAGCTGATTGGTCGGGTTTATTACGTCACAGAGC